AGCATTGACCCAACACTTCAAAATTTCCTCCCACTTTCCCCCAACATGAGGAACCACATAGCAGATGTAGTTAAGTTTACTTGAAGGTTAAAGAAGGTTTCCATGAAGTAATGCCATTGATTCATGTCATTTGGCTAACTGGATGTCCCTTATATAATTTTGATTATCTGGATCAAAAATACCGAGATCCACCATAGAATCTATATTTCCTTTTGAGCTGCAAGGTCAACTTAGTCCTTGAATTTACCGTATTTTTTGCATACAACAAACATTTCTTCCAAAAAGTAGCTGCTGGAAATTGAAGTGTGCATTATACATGAGGAAATACAGTAACAACGATTTCTGCTGTCTAAGCTCCTGTCTGGTGAAAGTGAAAGTAACTATACACAATCTACAGGGAGCAGAACAATGAGCAGGTTTGGCTTCCTAGCTGTTGCTATTCAGTTGCTCTGAAGGAAAGATTTTTTTTTTCATTTTATCGTTCAAAAACAATGTGTATTTTTTTTATGACAGGTGTGTTGTATGTGAGAAAATACAGTCTTTACTTAAAGGAAGTTTCCATGGCAGCACTATCTGTGTAGACTCAGCACTGAGCCTACCCAAGGGATATTTAGTGATAACAAGTATCTACTTTTTCTGTGGATCAGTTTTCCATGACCTCAAGCAGACCAAGTGTTGCCATAGAGTTATATATAGCTCATGGCTTCATTTCAGGCTGTTCTGAGGTAGGTAGAGGAAGCATCTCTTGTGACAAAGGGAAGGAAAGAAAAATCTCTCTAAAAAAATGCCCAAAGCATCTTCTGATCTAAAATAACACAGCAAGTAATAGCCAGACTGACCACTGATGCCTGGCTTAACACAAGATGTGGTGGTGGCAGATTAATTTAAAATTGTTAACTTTATTATTTACAATACTACATCATTTTAAACAAAGACTTGCAAACATCCTCAGTGATGACAGAACAAGGAGCAATGGTCTCAAGTTGCAACAAGGGACGTTTAACTTGGATATAAGGAAAAACTCTCATTAGGAGGGTGGTGAAGCACTGGAACTCATTATGTAGAGAGGTGGTAGAGTCTCCAACCTTGGAAGTTTTTAAGACCCAGCTAGACAAATCCTTAGCTGGGAAGATCTAGCTGGAGATGGTCCTGCTTTGAGCAGGGGGTTGGACTAGGTGAATTCCTGGGATCCCTTATAGCCCTAATTTTCTAGGATTCTATGGGCATTTATACAAGTACCTTTTTATCCCACAATGTGCCAGAAATCTGCTGCTTTGGAGCAGGCTCAATTAATTGCATTGCGCTCACCACACGCCGTTGTATAAGCTGCGAAATGCATGTCAGTGCACAGAAAATGGCAGTGGTGTGCTTTTGAACTAAAGCACCTCTGAGGTGTTTTAGTTCAAAAGCGTGCAGCCGCCATTTTATTTGTGCCGATGCACATTTCGCCACTTATACAGCTGCATACGTCACAGCACTGGGAGCTTTTCAAAGCACCTGGCACTGCAGTGCTTGTATGTGTAAAAAAGCCCTATGATTCTAAGTATAATTTAGGACAAATGTCCTTGCAGTAGACTTACTTCTTTTTCAAGGACCAGTTGAGATGCATACAGAGTCTGCATAATACTAATTAAAATAGTTTCAAAGCACATTTCTTCCTCAAAACAAACATTCTGAGTTTACACTTCTTTGGGCCCATGTCCAAAAGACCTGTCCTACTTTCCAAGGAAGATACCTAAGTTCTCTCTAGTCCCTTTTGAAGGCTTTACACTGGAAAAGATCTGTATTATGTTGGATTTGCCTGAACCTCTTGTTTTATTGGGAAAACTGAATCATAGGGATGTTCTCCTATAAAGGAAAGACCTTGAGAATCAGAATCTGTCGAGCTGATACCTTTTTTCTTCTTTTCCAGTTTCTCAGATTTATATGTGGAAGGAAAGAGAAATTAGCCTCTCAAGAGGCTGACACTGAGAATAATCTAACTAAAAGGGTTTTCCCTTTTTCATTTTAGAACAGGTAGGACAATAACAGCTATTGGACAATAGGACAATAACAGCTAGGACAATGACGGCTATTGCTAAGATATCAAACAACAGGGAATCTGACAGAACTGCAACTGCTACTATACTATAGAAATAAAGAGTAATACCTGGAAAGGGTCATTCTTCCGAAATGACTCCAGAATTTTACGGATGTTTCCTAAACCCCTTCTGTAGTAAGAGATGGGGGAACGACTGGATACACACCTTGCTGGGTTCATCTGACCCCAGCAGTCGTTCCTGCCTAAGAGCAGAGGAGCTGGACCTGATGATCTCATGAGGTCCCTTCCAGCCCCTAACTCCTATGAATCTATGATCCTGCACAGACAGCAGATATTTTGTTTCACTGACCACACCAGATACAGGGGGTGATTCACATCCTTTCCCACAGATGTCATTAAAGGAAATGGTCTGGAACAAGGCATGGGGATGCAGGCAGGGACAGGATCTTCTGCCCATTCTCTTGTTCTTCCAGGATTAGGCCTAACAAGGATAAATGACAGAGCAGTGAGGCATGGATGCCCTGCATCATGAGCTAGGTCCTGTTAGCCCTGAAAGAGTTCAGCAAAGAGAGCAGGATCCCACTAGTTAGGTATGCAGCCATGGCAGCTTCCATGTAAACAGTGTCCTCTTACCCAATGGACGGGGTAGGACGGCAGCATGTGCAGTATCCATGCCATTATCTTGGCATGGACACTGCTGCCTGGTAGACAGAGCAGGGTCTGGATAGTCCATTAGGAAAGGGTTCAGAACTTCTAATTTGTCTATTCCTAAGGTTCTCTGTGAGGAGTTCCTGCAAGAAATACCTCCCCAGACATGTTCTGGAAGCTGCTGCAGCCAGCTACCATTGCATCTGGGGGTTTCAGCAAGTTTGCTATAATACCCATGCAGATAAATAACAACTGGAGACT